AAATAAAACGAATTACTCATTAATGCCGCGGTTCTGCAAAAATACAAATAAATTTAATAGAATTGTAATTCACATATTACGCGTGTAATTGCAATAATGTGATACTCGAATTGATGCAAACAATATGTATTATGTGATATAATCAATACTATATTTTAAATTAATTCGTTGAAAATAAAAATTTTACATTGCAATGTTTTCTATATACAATAGCTTTACGTATGAATGACAAAACACATATCGAAAGAACATAGATCACGCTTCACGTGCTTAATCCCGTATTACCACTTTATCCCGTATTATCACTGTTTATTGAATGCGGAAGCAGACCCGGTCATCTTCCAATCTTTGTGAGACTGATCATTTTTTTCGTGAGCAAAGTAAATAGCGACGTACGTGCGAATGCCATACGGTTACCACACTGTTTCTGGCTACGGTAGGTAGGTAGGTAGGTAGGTAGGTAGGTAGATGGGTAGGTAGGTAGGTAGGTGCGTGTATGTAACAACAGGAAGAGAATACTTTCACTGACAGAGTCCGGTTGGGAGCTTTGGGAAGGACAAGAAAAAGACTAGACATAAATAAGAACGACAAGGATAGTGCGAGTGAAATGGATGGAGGTATATCGGTGCAGTACCGTGCCGCTCTTCCGACTATTATTACCGACTTCACAGCAGACACTCGACTGTCGTCGCGTCACCCGGTGAGCTTTCAGTAATCAGAGGGTTCTTCCGGTAAAATTTTGGCGGTAATGAAAACTTCTATTGCGGTTTTTATGATAAAATCGATGCGATCGGATCGTTAATAATTCTCTAAGTTTTCTTGCGTGTGTGTGGAAAAAAACTTGGAATAATTATGACAATTATGGAATAATTGTTCCAAGTAATAATTTATACCTACCGGATAGTGACAAAGTGTTGGTGCAATCTTGATCGAATCATAGGGGAATACCATTACTACTACATTAATACATCAAGGAAATGATAAAAGTATAAAGTACAGTTCTGTGACTGAAGATAGTGTGCTATGTATACGTGCGTAATGACATTGTCTACAAATCATTATTATGCAAAGATTGTGACAAAAATTTTGTTTGAACGATAAATTCAATCAAATTGATTATACAGAATTATACAAATATGTGCCACAATATATTATACAACATCACATACAAGTATTGAAAATACACGATATTATTTCTTTATGACGTACAATGCGTCCTTGATGAAAATTCCGGTAAACTGCATTCTACAATATCAGTGTAAACGTGACAAAAACATCACTTCAGACAAAAAGAAAATTCACAATGTTGCGTGTCTATTCGAGATAAATGTTTTTATCACGTTACAAAAAATGTAAAAATAGTAAATCTGTGTTTGGTTACGCATTGACAATTATTTAGTTAGTCGATAAAACTCGTGTCCTTTAAACAATTTCCACACGATGTATAATAATCTAAATATTATAATATCGTGTCAATACTTTTGTTAATTACCTTAAATTATTTGAAACTGATTTTTTGAAATAATAATACACACAACTCTCTATTATAAATATAATAACATCGAAATATAAAGTTTTTTGCATTAGAAGCTCACGATATAACATTTTAATTGTGTGTGTGTGTGTGTGTGTGTGTGTGTGTGTGTGTGTGTGTGTGTGTGTGTGTGTTTGCATGCGCGTGTGTATACATACATATATATATATATATATGTGTATACACACTGTACTTAGATTAAAGTTCATTCCTTTTCAGATAAATTTTTTATAAAAACTAAATAATAAAATAAAAATAAATAATAAACTAAGATTATCTTATGTTTTATACTACTCATATAATTTCTTATTTTTTAAATAAAAATTTATTTTTCCTAATTGCAATTGTTTGCAATTTATTGAATATTTTGTACTATTTTATACTGTTACTACTGTATCGTTTATGTTTGTTCGTGTGGCATTTTTCACAACAAAAAAAATTTAAGTAAAACTTATATGTAAGAAGTAATTATCCCGCAAACGCGCAACAAATTATTAAATCATAGTTGATCCACAATAAGATCATATAAAATAATTATATGTATAAAATAGTAAGTATTATATATGTATGTATGTATAACAAAGTTTTTTCTCTGTTTTTATGGTAAATTTCAATTTCTCAACGTAAAATTTTATCGAAGAGAATTAATTATAGCGCATTACATTAAGCCACATAAAATAATTAATTTTAAAGAAAAATATGTATACGTTTCATAAAATTTTTATACTGTAAGTATAAAATAGTATAAAATAAGTATAATAAGGCTCCATATAAATATGTCTCTAGACTGTATCATATCTATACTGTTGTCGTATGCATACATTTCACAGTTTCACCAAAAGTATTTGGGACGAATTACTTATTGAAAACTATTACGTAATTCACAAATTTGCGCTCTTCCATGTCGCAATTGGCGAATATTGGAAACTTTCACCAATTGATGCCTTTTCTTTACACTTTTCCACACATTGAAAACTATATCATAACATATTTTTATGAAACGTGTACATATTATATTTTTCTTTAAAATTAATTACTTTATGTGGCTTAATGTAACGCGCTATAATTAATTCTCTCGGATAAAATTTTACGTTGAGAAATTGAAATTTACCGTAAAAACAGAGAAAAATAACTCTGTTATACATACGCGTATACATACATGTATGATAAATACTAGCATTAGTAATGTTATTATACTTGTATAAATGTATAATATTGCGCCATTATCTTTTAAATTGCACCAACGAATTCCATTACGATATATTGACTATTTCAGATTATTTACAATATTATCGATTAGAACTTTAACAATTCTACCATAACGATATCCGAGGTCTAACGAGCGATTTCAGGAAAAGTAAAGGCAACTTCCGCGTTGCTTTCCGTGCGTAATATAAAATATGCCGAGCGTATTCTTCTCTTTCTCATACCTCTCACAATTTCCTTTTTCTTGTTATCTTTGAAATAACTTGATAAGACCATAAAATCGCTTTAATGTATTCTGTACATTAAAAAACAACAATTTTTTTAATTTACTGTATAATTAAAAACATTAATCTCGCTTGACAAATTTGCTTTCCTAGAAGGGTATTCATAACGATTTACCGATTATTTCTGTTTATTCACAAAATAAAGTAAATGAGTTATACACTTAAATGAGTTATATCCTTAATTATATAAATAAAAAAAATACATTTTTTAAATATTACAGATCGTTGAACTGCTGAGTGTGTATCGAATAGTATTGATGTTCCCGTACTTTCATATAGTACTCCAAAATTACTATCCTAATTATTTTCATCGTTCTGCACCAAAGAGGAAGTCTTCCAAGGTCTCTGAGAGACTCAGAGAAAATACATGAAATTGCTCAGCGGAAGTTACGAAATTGGAATTATCCTATAGCGATTACAGGTACGTGATATGTATATACAATTTTTATACAATATATGCTTATTAGTATTATAAATTAAAAATCTTTATCTCTTTCCTCATCTCTCTCCTTTTCTTTATTCTTCTTTTTCTTTTGTTAAAACTGGTCTTTTCTAGAATTTTCAAAATCTTACTTGTATTCAAAGATATCAAAAGGTTTGCGGGTTTCGGCAAGGTTCATGGAAGTTAGCATTAGCAATGGAAATACAGCAATAACCTGCAAACTTTCTAATACTTTTCAAGATGATTCCCATGAAAGCCTTAAAAGCGTTATCTAACTTGTATTTTTAAATCTATATGTATATTTAAAGAAGTTTATACCAGAATAGTAATCTTAAATAGAAGTTTGTACCAGAATAGTAATCCTTACCGTCTGTTTCTTACCAATGAATGTCAATAGATCAAGGATGTATTTGCGATTTCAATTTTCAAATACATTCTTTCCTTAAATACATACCATATATACACTTCGCCTTTCGTAATTCGTAAAAGTCTTCTTTCCAAAGTATATGAGTTAATAGATTAGTCTTGACACTGACCTATTTAACAATCGGAAACGTTTTCGTATACATGATGGAACTAGATAAGAACGAAAAAATGTGTGTGTGTGTGTGTGTGTGTGTGTATACGTGTGAGAGAGAAACGGAAAGAAGTAGCATAACGTAACTCCACGAGTTGTCTCGTAAAAAGAGACAAGTCGGAGGTTTATGCCGGTGGAACACTTTCTCCTTTCTCGTTATGAGATCACCATCTCGTTCTTCCGGCGGATCGAGACATAACCCGCAGGCATAACGAGGCACTTTGTGCACCGTTTACTCATTCAATTTACACGTGGATTGAAGCTTGTGTTGTGTGGCTATCGAAGTGGATCTTATTCAATTAAACGCTTGCCAGGCTAGCTTTGATGGGGCTCGATGGTCTTTAATTCGTTGAGAAACTTTGGCATTTCCTTGTTCCACATAGCGCGGAAACCGTTCTTTCTTCCGTGATTAGAAACATATTGCTATTTCCACTTCGTGTCGCCACGAGTAAAATTAATTACATTCTTCAACAGATTTCAACATTTTTTTAATACTAGTAATAACAATTGGTGATTCTAAACTTTTCCAAGCTCTGCTCTATTTAAAAAATAATTAATAAATTTAAAATTAACATTTAACGTTTGTTCTTATCTTTACAAGATACAATGTAAAGTTTAGATCAAAATTTTGAGAAAAGTATTAACGTATGTTATCTAATACTAATATTTGCTATCAAGTGCTGCGTTTATTCAATTCTATTTAATATCTCTTTCATCATCATTATCATCATCACTATTGTTATGATTATTATTACAGAACAAAGCAGTATGGAAGCGATTCATCGAAATCAATGGAAACGTCATAAAAAATATAGACATCGACGTGTCCTGCAATGTTCACGAGACTGAAAATATCAGCAGATAAAAAAAAATATCTCCATTACAACGAAGAGCAATGATATAGCGATATCAAACTAAAGATAAAAATTCGCAAGGCAGGTTTATGTTTTCGCCAGAATGGTTTTCAGTGCGATAGTAGTGACATCAGCCTTGAAGAGCGCTATTGGCTTAGTGGGTACAGGTTTATGGCTCATACCATTGTTAATCGCGGGCCTTTCTTACTATCGTTACGATCAACTGGATCCTGAGAGTCGCCTCATCGACAAGCACCCTCTCTACTCTGATTACGATTTCATCGTAATCGGAGGCGGATCGGCTGGAGCGGTAATTGCCAGTCGACTATCGGAGATACCGAACTGGAATGTGCTGTTATTAGAGGCTGGCCCAGATGAAAATGAGATTACAGACGTGCCATCTTTGGCTGCGTACTTGCAGCTGACCAAGTTGGATTGGAATTACAAGACTGAGGCTACAGGTAAAGCTTGCTTAGCTATGAAGGGTGGCCGTTGTAATTGGCCAAGAGGTAAAGTTTTAGGCGGAAGCAGTGTTCTTAACTACATGTTGTACGTGCGTGGTAATAAACAAGACTACGATCATTGGGAATCGCTCGGTAATTCCGGTTGGGGATACGACCAAGTTCTCTATTACTTCAAAAAATCAGAAGACAATCGAAATCCATACTTGCAGAGAAGTCCATATCACGCGACCGGTGGTTACCTAACGGTACAGGAATCGCCATGGAAGACTCCCTTAGTGGTTGCTTTTGTCCAAGCAGGCGTTGAATTGGGATACGAAAACAGGGACATAAATGGCGAAAAGCAGACGGGCTTTATGATATCTCAAGGAACTATTCGCAGAGGAAGCAGATGCTCCACCGCGAAGGCTTTCTTGCGGCCTATACGATTACGCAAGAACATTCATATAGCTATGAACAGTCATGTGACAAGAATTGTGATTGATCCGTTAACTATGAGAGCGATTGGCGTCGAGTTTGTTAGGAATGGTCGCAGGCAGATAGTGAGAGCACGCAAGGAAGTGATATTATCAGCAGGTGCCATTAACAGTCCTCAAATTTTGATGCTGTCGGGGATCGGACCAAAGGAACATTTACAACACGTTGGTATTCCTGTTATCAAAGATCTTCGAGTCGGCGACAATCTTCAGGATCATGTCGGAATGGGTGGATTGACATTTTTGGTTGATAAACCAGTCGCTATAGTTCAAGATCGTTTTCAACCGGTTCCGATGATGATGCATTACGTAGTTAACGGCCAAGGTCCCATGACGACCTTGGGTGGCGTTGAAGGTTATGCTTTCGTGAATACAAAGTATGCCAATCACTCTATCGATTATCCGGACGTGCAATTCCACATGGCGCCAGCCTCTATTAATTCCGACGCGGGTGTACAAGTTCGGAAAGTTTTAGGGTTAACGGACGAAGTATACAATACCGTCTACAGACCAATTACCAATCGAGACGCCTGGACCATCATGCCTCTTCTGTTAAGGCCCAAGTCTCGTGGTACTGTACGTTTGAGAAGTTCCAATCCTTTTCATCATCCTATTATCAATGCGAATTACTTTTCCGATCCTATGGACATTGCCGTCCTAGTGGAAGGTGCGAAGCTTGCGATCAAAGTCAGCGAGGCGAAAGTTTTTAAACAATTTGACTCGAGACTTCATCGCGTTAAGCTACCGGGATGCAAACACTTCAAATTCGACACTGACGCTTACTGGGAATGTCAGATTCGACATATTTCTATGACAATTTATCATCCTGTAGGTACCGCCAAAATGGGACCGCCGACCGATCTTACTGCCGTAGTGGATCCTAGATTGAGGGTTTATGGTATCGTGGGACTTCGAGTTATCGATGCGTCTATCATGCCGACAATAAGCAGCGGTAATACAAACGCTCCTGTCATTATGATCGGTGAGAAAGGTGCTGACCTCATTAAACAAGATTGGTCGGCTACCATCATTGATAGTTAATCACGAAATTAAACGCGATCTTACAAGGGGCTAAGAAAAAAGTAAATTCGATCCAAAATCTATTATAATATAATGTATAACGATTCGATTTGTTTTCGGATGTTTTCATTATGCAGGCGTATCACGTAAGAGCAATTATTTTTAAATAAGAAAAAAGATTGTTAAAGACGTTAAAAAGTTTTAAACTGTAATATAGGTATGTGCGATATGTTGCAATTGACGTATCTAACTGATCGTATCATAATGGATATACCAATAACATGTCCTAATTTGTTCTAATTTATTCTAATCTCGGTAATGTCTCGGTAAATAATATTTGTGTTCATAATTATTCCATGTACATTATACAATTAAATAATGTGCAGTAAAAGATAGCTACAGTATATAAACAACATACAGAGTGAATTAATCTTGATTATTTAAAGTTATAATTAAAATTACAGTACACAAAAATTTTTGTATGTATATTTTATAAATTATTAATAGCAAAAATGCGCAATGATCAAATCGTGTTTCATCTTAACAATTATATATATATATCGGGTGAGGCAATAACTTTGTCCACCTTGAATACCTCCGCCATTTTTAGAGATACGAAAATATTGTAATTACAAAAGTTGTACGGTATTAACAGGACTATAATATATGCTGGTTATAATTTTTTTAGATGGAGGCGCTTCGGAGATTTCTAAGTCAACTTCATTTTTTTAAATGGAATTATATGAATTTTTTTTCACTATATGATTCATCTCATTATACTGTTTACAAAAGCATTAAGGTACGATTATTAAAAAGTCAATAGTTCACGAGTTATTAAAAATTTTATGTCAATATGCACCAAAAGAATGTGTAAAATATCTCGTGAACTATTGGTTTTTTTACATCTCTACCTTGATACTTTTATGTACAGAATAATTAGAGGAATCATATAGTGAAAAAAAATTCATATAATTCCATTTAAAAAAATGAAGTTGATCTCGAAATCTCCGAAGCGCCTCCACCTAAAAAAGTTATAACCAGCGTATATTATAATTCTCTTAATACCGTACAACTTTTGTAATTACAATATTTTCGTATCTCTAAAAATAGCGGAGGTATTCAAGGTGGACAAAGTTATTGCCCCACCCGGTATAATTCATAAATTCATAAAAATATTAAATTCGACTAATAAACAGACTAATAAAAAAGAATGATTAACGTTTAAAGCGCAATTTTAGAAAAAATTGAAAGACAGTAATCGGAAATAAATATTACGTAATTAGTAATGAAACTAGGCCAGTTCAAAGTAAAAAGTCACGAGGATACATAAAAACGATTAAGTATGTATAATTCTCAGGTACTGCATCATTAAAGAAATATGCGAAGATCAATCTAAAACGTTATACTAAAGAAATCTTCATGAAAATTTCTTTAGTTTAATACTTTCACCGTTCTATAGAATCGTATTGGATATTATGTAAAAAGATGATCAGGAGGGCCAATATGACGACTTGTAAATAAGGGTGTATATGGCCTTTTCAAACAATGTTTCATTCTTTTCGACGACTTCATTTATCGATTTTTTAATTTTGTGAACTTCGCAGTGCGTTTTCTTAGTCATTCGAATAATCTACGCTCTTTGGTCTTTTTGGTTAGCTTTTTTTCCAAATTCCAAGAAATAGGATTATGTAGATTTTATTTGTGCCATCGTTTCTGCTACATAAAAAATTTTTTATTAGTATTCTATGATCTCTAGTATTAGAACGTTTAATAAAAGTTCCATAAAAATCTATTAGTTGAACATTTTGGACCAATCTTTGCACATTCCTTTCTCAGTTTTCTTATGTGCCATATAATAAATGTAGCCTCTTTAGCTAAATAAGATAAGTTTTATTATTTAAATGTGTATATATGTACATATACATATATATGAGGTATTCCACGTCAAACCAGATCCTTTAAAAATTATAATTTTTTTAACTTTGTTGACATATTCTACAGACAAAAATATGAGACAAGTATTTCGTGAAAAAAACTTGAGATTCTTTTTGTTCACACATATAAGTTATTTACGCATATAAGTTGCAGAAATTTATAAAAAATAAGTTGCTCATGGGAACATTTAAATAATTATAATATCGTTGTAACCATTAGTCGTACAAAAAAAAAAACAAGAAATCGATTTTAAAGATCTTAAATTGTTTTGCTTTCAATTAATCATTTTCATATAAATAAATCATTTTCCATTTGTTTACAACTTTTATTAACATTATTCAACTTACCGATTTAAAAATTTTATAAAAATATCGTCACATTCCTACTTCACTTAGGAAGTAACCCTGAAAATTTCAAAGTAAAACTCGAACGGACTGTTCAAAAATTATGTTCCGTGACTTCCACATATCTTTTTTCCGCAAAACATTGCATATTTTTATAGAATATGTCAGCAAAATTAAAAAAAAAGATAAAATGATGTTTTAAAGGTGCCCGATTTGACGTGGAATGTTTCATATACTTCATAATATACGTATAGTAAAAATAATAACTGATGATTGTTCGCCGTGATTCTTTGAGTGAGATTATAATTATATTTGCTACTTGTTACTTTGTTCTCTATTACAGTCAAACGTTAAATTAATCTAGAGATTAATTAAGTGACTATGTAAGAATTGTTAAGAATTATGTATTTTTTGTTATATAATACATTCTGTATTTGTAAAATAAATGATATTACGATAAAAAAAAAAGATTATTTTTCTTCTTCTATTTCTATTATAATTTTATCTTTTTTATTTTTTCGAACGTTGCACTCTTGTGTCTTGCGTAAATTATAAAACGATAAATGTATGCAGTGATCGTGTAATGCAAGAGTTCATGGAAAATTTCCCGTTGATAGAATTAAATTCTTTCAATGGAAGACGTGATTGTTATTCTAATGCCAATTCTTGCAATTTACTTTCATGACGTAATTGTTTTACCTAAAGTATTTCTGAAAGTGTTTTTCCTTACAATTCTTATGTAACTATTGTAGTATACTACGTTTCGATAGTTTAACAATAATTTTCGTATCAATTCTTAAGTAAATTTAGGTTTAATGAATATTTAAACAGTTTGATTGGAAGTTATTTCACACACACTCAACCGAACCGTAATTTTTAATGAAATGTCAATTATAATTATAATAAAACTTTCATCAAACGATATACGATGAATTATCCTAATGTTCGTCACGTATGTCAATAAGGTAACAAAATAGTAAGCATTACGATAACCTGATGAGAAGGCTTGTTACATGCTCTGTATTTTAAATAAAAAATATATAATGCATGGCGAATAATTACACCAATGTGTTTAATGTATTAAGGTTTAAAATATTTATGTATCTATCAAAATCTATACAATATACATCAATATTACAAAAAAAATTATATCAATTTCATTTCAGAGAAAGAGATAAAGTATATTTTATTTATTCTTAAAGTACGTTTAATCCAAGATTACATTGTCGTCGCGACAAAATAATTATAAGAGACATGATACTGAAAAATGATTATTATTATACTAGTGACAATTTATTTCTACAAAAAATTTTAATAAAAATATTTCAAAAAAATTATATATTTATAGTATTATAAATTATTATTTTTTTGAAGAGTTAGGCCTTTCGCCATACTAAATTTTTAATAACTATAATATGTCAACTACATAACCGCAAAAGAGCAGGCAAATCAATTAATTTTAAAATTAATTCCTTAACAACTGCTAAAAGACATTTGGATTATTCATTGATACACCTAATAATATATTATACAACTGTAAGAATTTTATAGTTGTTACAAACAGAAGTAGATACATACAGAAAGCAGATACATATAGATAAGTATAAATCAATCAAAGTTGATGAATATTTAATTGTCGTTATTCATTCTCTTATGTTGTCATCATAATTTATGGGGCTGGCATAAATATCGAAATAATACTTTATTGCTAAAAAAAAAAGTAAATATATATAACTTTCGCAGACCATTTCTCATTTACTCGCAAGCATTTTCATCAATGTGATATAAAAAAATGCGGAAATTTTTGAAATATTGTAGCTATTTAAAAACCGTATATGACAAATCAATAAGATAACATCCATATTATAAAACGCCTTGTACAGCGTAGAGTATCCAAAAGTTTTGGAAATATAAATTTTGCCGTACGCGCGAATTAAAGTTAGTATAGGATTGTATCGAAAAAAATTACAATCTGTAGTATTGCAAAATTTGCTGCGTGGTATTATGCTGAGAACATCCAGTCATTATTCTCAAGCTTCTTTTTATAGTGCTTACAATTTGCATTCAAAGATTATTTCGTGAAATAAAAATAAATAATCTTAAACAATACTATAAATCATGAATTCCAATAATTAAGGGCAAATGAAAGTGCAGCGTTATTGTTGGTACGTTTGTACTTGTACGAGTCACATAAGATTCATAGATTTTGATGTTGAAATCTTTGTTAAAATTAAATGGTGATGATTTTTTAAATCATTCTGATATCATTATTCATTCGTTAGTATCTATAATACTATAAATGCTCTTTACTGGAATTGTTTTAAAAAAAATAACATTTTCTCGTATTTTATATACTTTCGTCGGTTTTGTTTGTGGAAGAGAAATCAGAAAGCAATTAGTCTCTCTATTATTTTATTAATTTTCAAATGATTATTAAACTATTCATAAAGGGTATAATAGAATAAGGTGATTTCAAGCCACAGCACGATTGCCACAGAGATTAAAATTAACACACTAATGAAAGAATATTTTGTGCAAAGATTTGTCCCAAAAGAGTCACACCGTTTCGAGATATCGAGCAAAATGTAATTTTTCATTAATATTTTTTTTTCTTCGTTAAATCTAAACAGATCTTTACAAAAAAAATTATAGATTTAAAAGGTATTGAAAAGATTAGAATAAGAATATTTTTTTGCCATTTTGGCTCAAAATTCTATTTTTTAAAAATTTAATTAAAAGTTC